AGTAGAAGTTAGTTAGTAGTAAAATAGAAAACCTGAATTAAATCCAATATTTCACTGATAAGTTCAATAAAATGGACGTCTCTTCGTCTTTATCTTACTGCTGTGAAGTGATGATGTACTTCAGAGTACCCACAGAGTACACTCTGTTGGTACTAAATAGTGATGCTACTAAAATCACCTGGTTCTCCATCTTCCTGCTCCACTGCTTTGTATCTTTTCTCCTCTTCTTCTCATGACCTTCACCTGTTGATTGACCTTCTTTCCTTCTCTCCTCTCTTCATCCTGTCTTCAGTGCTCGTTATGGGAGCCCCAAACGACAGCTGCAGTTCTACAGGTACCTTTCACTGCATCCGTCTCCACTGCAGCTCTCTGTCCTCTCTGTGTCCTCTCTGTCTTCCATGTCCTCTCTGCCCTCTGTGTCTTCTCTGTCTTCTGTGTCCTCTGTGTCTTCTCTTTCCTCTTTGTCCTCTGTGTCCTCTCTGTCTTCCATGTCCTCTCTGCCCTCTGTGTCCTCTCTGTCTTCTCTGTGTCCTCTCTGCCTTCTCTGTCCTCTGTCTCCTCTCTGTCCTCTCTGTGTCTTCTCTGTCCTCTGTGTCTTCTCTGTCCTCTGTCTCCTCTCTGTCCTCTGTGCCCTCTCTGTCCTCTGTGCCCTCTGTGTCTTCTCTGTCCTCTGTCTCCTCTCTGTCCTCTCTGTGTCTTCTCTGTCTTCTCTGTCCTCTGTCTCCTCTCTGTCCTCTCTGTGTCTTCTCTGTCCTCTGTCTCCTCTCTGTCCTCTGTGCCCTCTCTGTCCTCTGTGTCTTCTCTTTCCTCTTTGTCCTCTGTGTCCTCTCTATCCTCTGTGTCTTCTCTGTCCTCTGTGTCTTCTCTTTCCTCTTTGTCCTCTGTGTCCTCTCTATCCTCTGTGTCTTCTCTTTCCTCTTTGTCCTCTGTGTCCTCTGTGCCCTCTCTGTCCTCTGTGCCCTCTGTGTCTTCTCTGTCCTCTGTCTCCTCTCTGTCCTCTGTGTCGTCTGTGTCCTCTCTGTCTTCTCTGTCCTCTGTGTCCTCTGTGCCCTCTCTGTCCTCTGTGCCCTCTCTGTCCTCTGTGCCCTCTGTGTCTTCTCTGTCCTCTGTCTCCTCTCTGTCCTCTGTGTCCTCTGTGCCCTCTGTGTCTTCTCTGTCCTCTGTCTCCTCTCTGTCCTCTGTGTCTTCTCTGTCTTCTGTGTCCTCTGTGTCTTCTCTTTCCTCTTTGTCCTCTGTGTCCTCTGTGCCCTCTCTGTCCTCTGTGTCCTCTGTTTTGTTCTCTGTTTTGTTCTCTGTTTTGTTCTCTGTTTTGTTCTCTGTTCTGTTCTCTGTTTTGTTCTCTGTTTTGTTCTCTGTTTTGTTCTCTGTTCTGTTCTTTTCTTTTCTGTCCTGTTCTGTTCTCTGTTCTGTTCTGTTTTCTGTTCTGTTCTGTTTTCTTCTCTGTTCTGTTCTCTGTTCTCTTCTCTGTCCTGTTCTGTTCTCTGTTTTGTTCTCTGTTTTGTTCTCTGTTCTGTTCTTTTCTGTTCTGTCCTGTTCTGTTGTCTGTTCTGTCCTGTTCTGTGCTGTTCTGTTCTGTTCTGTCCTGTTCTGTTCTCTGTTTTGTTCTCTGTTTTGTTCTCTGTTCTGTTCTCTGTTTTGTTCTCTGTTTTGTTCTCTGTTCTGTTCTGTTTTCTTCTCTGTTCTGTTCTCTGTTTTGTTCTCTGTTCTGGTCTGGTCTGTTCTGTTCTCTGTTTTGTTCTCTGTTCTGTTCTGTGCTGTTCTGTTCTGTTCTTTTCTTTTCTGTCCTGTTCTGTTCTCTGTTTTGTTCTCTGTTTTGTTCTCTGTTTTGTTCTCTGTTTTGTTCTCTGTTCTGGTCTGGTCTGTTCTGTTCTGTTCTTTTCTGTTCTGTTGGTCTGTTCTGTTGGTTTTTAGTTCACTCTGATTTCCGTGCTGGTTCCACTCCCTGTTCTTCATCCATATCCATTAAACCTCTGCAGCACAGACAGAAGAAACCAAAGCAGCGTTCTTCAGCTGCCGCTGCACTCTGCAGCTTTAACCTGATCCCACTGCTGATGGATTTTGTTGCACGGCTGCTCATAAAACCTTTGAATCATCAATAAACGCCCGGGTTTTTTTTTTCTCTCTCCATCAAATTTGTCTGCAGTGAAACCTGAGACGTCATGTGAAGTTTTTCATTTAACCGTGGTTTGTTTTTTGTTTTGTTTCTTGGTGACTCTCTGTCTGTTGTTAATGATCAGCGGAGCTCACCCTCAGGTCATCGTTGGTGGTCAGGGTTTGTGAGGTCCTAACGGTCTCATCTCAGGACTAAAAGCTCCTGACTCCGTGGATCAGGTGTAATGTTTAAATGTTCAACCTAAGTCTCCACCAGCTGCTACTCTGGCTGATGTCAGTCACAGCGACGGACTCCTTTGATTCTCCTCTGATGTTTTGGTGTTGAGTGTTGGGCAGTGTCAGGAGGTCTGTACTGTCCTGTCAGTCGCTACAGTAGGAACAGACGCTCACTTTACTTCAGCTGTTACGATAAAGAGCTAAGAACGCTCTTAGCTGAGTATTTCCGGTCCTGTCATCGTTAAACCCTTTCAGAGTTTTCAGGAAAATGGGTTCTTCTCAGTCAGTGAAGGTCACGGCCGGGGTCACTGCGTCTGTTTCCTGTGGTGATAACAGACCGTCGTCCACATAGAAAGTGAAGTTTTATGTGAATTAGTCTTTGTTGAAATATTAAATCTGTAAAGTAACCGTGTGTTTGTTGGTGTAAACATTAAAGAAGTGTCAACGTTGTGTTAATGTTTGTAATTCTTAGTCTGACCTGAGGAGGCAGCGTCTCTAACTGCTGTGGTCTCCACCGGTCTTGGTGGTTCACCCAGTCTCTGTCCAGCTTCATACTTAGTGGACATCCATTTTCTTGACCGTGTGTGTGTGTGTGTGTGTGTGTGTGTGTGTGTGTCCTGCTCTTAGTGTTCTTTCCTGTGGAACAACAATCAGAGGCTTTTAGTGCAGAAGCTTTGGTGAATAATTCAGGCTGATATTATTTGCTGCGGTGGACAGAAACAGGACAGCAGCTAATGACATCAATGGATTTCTAGCATGAGTTCTCACGGGGGGAGAGGTGTTGGCTGTGGGCAGTGATGAGGGGCGGGGGACTCTCTGCTCCGCACTCTCTGCTCCACTAATTGGTTTAGATGTTTCCTCCTAAGACACTCCCAGACTGGGTGGACCCGCTGCTGCCCAGTCTGCAGACTGTGTGTATAAGAGCAGACTGACGCCCCACAAACCTGCTCATGAGCCGACCCCCAAGAAACCGGGTGAGTTTGACCACTCACGTACGTTTGGTGTGTGTGTGTGAGGGGACAGTGAAGTGTGTGTGTGTGTGTGTGTGTGTGCATGCTGCCTGGCTCCACATCTCCTCCTTTATTTACGTTGTTTGTCTCAGTGGATGGACGTCAGCTGTTTGGAGAGCTTTTTTAAACGGACAGGGATTTGTGAGAAGATACGAAGGCAAGTCGAACCTCCATAACGATCACGATCACGATCACGATCACGATCACGATGGACTGATTTTTACTGCACTTTCTGTCATCGCAGTTGGCCCTGAATGAACAGACGGTTGTTTGATGTCGTAGGTTTAGTGGAAGGAGCATTTCATCTTCAAAGTCGGCTGTTGTTGTTTCAACGCCACAGCTGGATTTAGAGGCTGCTGTTTTAGTCCAGTCAGACCAGTGTGTCCAGTCAGACCAGTGTGTCCAGTCCGTATCACTGCTGATTTGATGTCTTTTGACTGTTTGTCTCTAAAGACACTTTTATTCTTAGGTGTGAAAATATTTCTTCAGGGATTTAATTTATTTTATTTTTATCAAACAGATTTATACTTTCTTTTCTAGTTTGGATAGGTAAACATTCTTGTTGTTGGACGCCTCGGCAGCACAGAGCGTGTAGTCCTGGGTTAGATTCCCAGAGGAAACACTTACTTGGTGCCTCCAAAGGGGGCAGCATGTTGCAGGCTTGCTCTTAACACAAGAATGTACTATTATTGTTGTTATTGTTGTTGTTGTTGTTGTTATTGTGATGGGGCCAGTTTCAGCATCAACATCTATATTTAACTAAGACCCGTTTGTTCTTTACACTCAGCTCTTCCTTACATCCATTATTGTCCCTAATAAACAGGTAGAACAGTGCCCTCCACAGAACATAATAAGAACTGCACTTCTCAGTGTGGAACTATGGAGCAACCAAGGAAACAAATAAGAATAGAATCAACCTAAAGTCATGTATTTGTTGTATTTACTCAACCTTCAACCTCCACGTCCTCTTAAAGTCCAGTCAGTGACCATGGTTCTTCCTGTTGCCTGGTGCATGTTTTTGAGTTTGGGTTTTTTTTTTTTTTTTAGGGCTGTAATCTCCAAGTCGACTGGTTGATTTATTGGTATGTTCTGGGTCGACCAGAATTCTAATTGGTCGATTTGAAAAAAATATTAGTTAATTAAATAAAGTTAATTTTAGGAGGAATTAGGAGGAAAGTAGCAGGTGCTAATGGGGGTGTTTTCAGAGCAGTCCGGATTTACAGGTAACGATCTGTCCTCTGAACCCGACCCCCCCGACCCCCCCTCCCTCATGGTTTTCACTATTTGGGGTTAGCCTGGAAAGCTTAGTGAATTATTTTTATTTTGTTTCATTCACAGTCAGTCGCCTGCTATATCAAAGACATCCACAGTGTGGCAGCATTTTATTTAAAATCTTAAATTGTATTTAAAAGTTTATTTAAGCAGAATAATGAAATTAATGATATAAATGAAGAGC